TTTACAGTCATAAATATTCTTGGCTCTGAAAATACTACACCTGGAAAATTGCTTTATTTCCATTCCTGGACAGAATAAATGATTATAATAACAACAAATATCATTGATGACGATGGCATGCTTTTCACTGAACCATTCTATTCTCTCTTTCATAACAGGAATTGCTCTATTATCTCATCTATGGGTCCTATCCAATGTGTTGCCTGTTTGCTTTTAATAACTTATTGAGGTGAAAATCTTATACAATTAAAGTGTTTTCAAGGGAACTGTTTCAAAGTGAACAATTCAGAGGCATTTACCCCATTCACGGTGTTGTGCAACCACCATCTCTATCCAGTTCCAAAACATTTCCAGCATTGCAAAGCAAAACCCTGGGCGCATGAAGCAATTTCTCCCGGTTCCTTCCTCCCCCCAGCCCCCGGCAAACCTCCCCGCTATCTGTGTTCTCTCACTATGTGTTTATCTATTCTGGATCTCTCATGTAAATGAAACCATAGACTATGTAGTCTTTTGTCTGGCATCTTTTGCTTAGCGTCCTGGTTTGGAGGCTCATCCACAGTGTAGCTTATGTCGGAACTTCATTTCATTATGGCTGAGTAATTTTGTATTGTATGTGCATATAACAGTTTGTTTATCCATCGATGGATATTTGGACCAGTCTTACCTTTTAGCTATTATGAAGAGTCTTACTATGAGCATGTTCGTACAGGTGCTTGTTTAAGTTCCTGTTTCAATCATTTTGCGTACATCCCTAAAAGTAAAATTGCTGGATCGTAGGGTAATTCTATGTTTAACTTTTTGAAGATCTGCCAAACTGCCTTCCACAGTGGCTATATCATTTTACATTCCTACTAGCAACATATGAGGGTTCCAATTTTTCAACATCCTTGCCAACAATTTTTCTTTCTTTCTTTTTTTTAATTATTGTTATATGGGGTGCCTGCCCGGTTCAATCAGTGGAGCATGCAACTTTTGATCTCTGGGTGGTGGGTTTGAGCCCCACAGTGGGTGTGGAGATTATTCAAAAATGAAATCTTTTTAAACATAATATAAAAAAATAAAATCATTGTTATAGCTATCCTACTGTCATTGCCTGTTTTTCTAAATAAAGTTTTATTGGAACATAGCCATGTCCATTCCTTTACATGGTTATGATGCTTTTGCTACCATGGCAGAAACTGTATGGCCCGTAAACCTAAAGTATTTACTATGTGGCCGTTTAAGAAAAAGTTTTCTGCACTCTAGTTTGGACAATTAGCCCTTCTTTTTAATTTGACATTTTATTTGACAGCTCCCCAAAATAAGACCAAATAGTATTGTGACCTTGAATGAGTTAGCTTATTTTTAGTCTTAAATTTCCTTATCTGTAAAAAGATACAGTAGGACTCGATTTCCAAGTTCTCTTTTGGAACTTTAAAATACTCTGAAAAACTATGGTATTTCCAAGATGGGCAATTAATTTGCAGTTTATACTTCACGTAGTCAGTAACCTGTTCGGCTTTGTTCTGGCTTAAATTAATGGTTTCCTCCATAATTCTCTTTGATCTATTCATCACACAAGCATAGGACAGTAGCCAATTCCCAGCTCATGCTGTTCTTTCTCTGTACCAAGTTGCAGTGATTTGGTGGGATTGTCTAGGAAGGTAAGGACACAGGAGCAAGTGAAAACTCCTGGCTTCTCTAGCAAGGAGAAAAGAAATACTGTCAAAACCAAATTCATGGTTTTCTTACATACACAGCTGTGCCAGTTTAAGACCAAGGCTTCTTTCTCTGGCCTCTCAACCTGGGGTGGGGAGCCAGGAAGAAAATTAAAAGAGATGGAGTGAGGAAGAGAGAAACAGAACAGACTAGTTCATGGTACGTGAAATGCATGGTCAAGGAATGCTGACGTTGGGCACCTCATATTAATAACCTAGTTACCCCCTTAGAAGGCTGTAAGGATGAACAAGATACTTAGCAGGCACCTCGATCTGCCAAGAGTTGGGTGTGGATGAGACCCCAGGGAATATTGTAGCCCAGCCCCTCAGTTTCAAAATGAAGAAATAGAAATGCAATGCCTGGCCCATATTCACGGGGGGGAATTGGCTGCAGAACATGGATAAGCCCCAGGTGCCCTGACTCCAATCCAGGGAAAGGAGATACCCGCGCCAACGAAAAGGCTGATGGGATGAAATATGTAGCGTGGCCAGGAAGTAAGGGGGGTGTTCTGCTGGTCGGACCCTGCTGACACGAGAATAAATGTTGCCTGTTGTGGTCAGGAACGATGAACCTGGTCCCCAGAGAGCTGTAAAACATACCTGGGCATTTCTTACCCTTGGGTCTCTAAGATGGTTTGCATGAAGCCCCACCATGAATGGAGCACTGTTTTAAGGTTTACTCCTCAACAAGCTGATGTATAATTGGTGAACAAACTATAAACCCTCTGGAGAGGGCTCAGAAGGTGTGTGTCCAGGTGTTCTTGGCCAAGCATCGCTGGTGCCCCAGCTTGGCCTGGTATGACTCAGTTGAACCAAGTTCTATCATCAGCAAGTCCTGCCCATGTATCCCCTGGGGTCCCGCCCATGCCAGAGTTGGGGTGACTGCTACTTGATGTGAAACTCTTATTATTGTTGTGGAACAACCTCTAGCTCTGAAATTGCTCAAAGTTCATTTTTTCCCCAGCTCTACTGAGGTACGATTGACAAAAATTGCATATATTTAGGTTGTATAATATGATTTTTTAAATGTGTACAATGTGGTTTAATATATGTGTCCATTGTAAAAAGATTACCACAATGAAGTTAATGAATCTATCCACACCTCAAATAGTTACCCTTTTTTTTTTTCAGACTTCATTTTTCAAACCCAGGGCCACCGGCTCCCTAGTTCATGCGTCCTGAATCTCTTGCTTGTCCCACCCTTCTTCCTCCCCACACTTTGGCACAGGCTGTTTCCTCTGCTGGAAGGCACAGGTTCTAGATTTCCGCCAACTTCTACAAATCCCTCAGGACTCAAGTCCCATATCACCTCCTCCAGGAAGTCTTCCCTGACCTCATCGTTTCCCCATCTCACTTTTACCACAGCATGGATCATACCCTAACATGCTTTCCTGTTCACTTGTCCTCCTTCACAGAGAGTCAGCGAGTCTCTGGAGGACAGATGCTGGCCCTTCTATCTCTGCCTGCCTCACGTTTAGTTCCCTAGCGACTTGCAGCGGGCACTCCACAAGGGAAGGGATGATGAATGAGTGATCGCGGGGTGTCCGCCTTTCCCTCTGAGCACCCTCCCTGCTGAGGCTCTGGAAGGGGACTTCCCTCATGGGTGCTCTTTGGCAGAGGGCAGGCTTTTTTCCCAGGACCCTGGGATCATGACCTGAGCTGAAGGCAGACGCTCAACCGACTGAACCATCCAGGCGCCCCTTGGCCTGAGTTTTCATAGTCGCCTCAATAACTTCTCTTCCATTCTCCCTCTGTCACTGGTAGCAGAGGGGATGGGGCCCCCAGAGATGACCTGGGGAGACAGCCTCTTGACTGCCCCTCTTCCATAGCATCTGAACGTAACTCCAGAACTAATCCAGCCCCATGGCTCCCCTCCTTAAAGTCTCCCTGGCTCCCGGCCCCAGGAGTCTGCAAGCCCCCCCCCCACGTTCCCCCACAGCCACGGTCCTCCCCAGACACCTGATGCCACATGCGCACTGGAAGTCCCGCGCTCTTTCCTGACTCTGGGTCTCCTATCTGTGGCTTCCTATCTCCTATTTTGCCCTGCCTTGAGCCCCTTCAGACTCCTCCCCAGCTCCAAATTCACCTTCTCCGTGGATCTTTCCCCAGTTCTCCCACAGACTGAGCCCCCCCTCCTCTTACCACCAGTCTGACATCTGGCAGCACCCCATTACCTTCTCCCCAGTTACATGTGAACTCCCCGAGGGCTGATCCGGGCTTTACTCACCTCTGGAGCCCTGACAACTAAGACACTGATGAGCAAGAGAATTGCCTTTCACATGGATGTCTAAGCCAACTGGGTCCTCTGGTCTTCCTTAAGCCGGCATAACTGCTGTGGAGGTTAAGGGAGCAAAGGGGCTGGACGGGAGCCGAGCTGTGTGCTCTTCTTGGTTGGAAGCCCAGCACAAACATAGGGAATACCTCCCTATGCCAGCCGAGAGTCAGCTACGTATCTGCTAATTTAGCGTGCAAAATGTCCGCATGGCAAGCCCAGCCAGACCGGGCCTGGGTCCTGTTAGCTGGGAGGGGTGAGCGGGGCAGTTCGGATGACAGTGGCGGCTGGGCGGGAAGGGAGGGCAGCGCCTGGTGATGGACGCACCACTTGGTGGAATTACCACACTCCTGGCCCTGCTCGGCTGCGGGGCAGCTACCGCCGAGCAGGAGCCCGGTCTCATTCTGGCAGGACACGTTAGTCTCCCCTTCCTGGCCAACACCTTCTGGGAAGCATCACGGTGTAACGGAAGAGACAGGCTTCAGAGCTGCGGAGACCTGAGACCAAATCCCAGCTCAGCCACTGCTAGCTGTGTGATCTCAAGCAAGTTACTTAACCTCTCTGATCTTCAGACTCCTCTTCTAAAAAAAAATAGAAATTAAAAAAACCTTATTTCACAGGATTATTTATTCCTAGAGAAAATAGTTTTTGAGTCCTCCTTTGTATCATATCTTATCTAGTCAATGGGAATAGGTAAGTCTTTAAATATTAGTTTCTTTTCTTTCTTCTATTTATTCCCTAGTCAAAGGCCAGAATCCTTAGAGAAATCCCCTTCATTCTTTCTCTCCTCCAGTGCCCATTATATTTCCTCCAAGGAAAGATTATCTAATAATAATAATAGTAACACCTAACACTTTGTCAGGTACTTACTATGTGCTGAGCACTATTGGAAGTACTTACATATACTTACTAATTTAATGCCCCTAACACAAAGAGATTGGAATTTTACAAGTAAGGGAAAGGAGGCACAGAGAGCTAAGGAATTTGTCAAGGTCACCTAGCTAGCAGATAATGAAGCTGGGATTTGAACCTGAGCACCCCAGTTCCAGCCCCTACTTGGAACCACTGTGTTAGAGATCATAGAGTTCAGTCTGGAGGATACCATGCTGTCTCCCTCCCCAATCCCTTCTTTTCTCTTCTCTCTTCTTCTCAGCTGAAGAAACCGAAGGTCACTTTGGGCAGGGTTAGGTGACAGGCTCAAAGTTACACAACTACTTATGGCATTTGTCCTGAGCCCCATTTCTGTGCCCTTCCTCTGACATTGGGCAACACTAGACACTCAGTAGGAAGGCAAATGGCTGAAACTAGTAACTATTTTGAGTAAATCATTTGTATGACTTTATCCTTCTAGTTGTAACAATCATTCAAAGGTATCCGATCTGATGGTAAAAAAAAAAAAAAAATTTCCATTAGATACCATAATATTTGTTTTCGTTTAATTAATACGAATCTGAAATGCAGTCTTTGTTTTTGCTAGTGTTTCAATTTCTGCCCCCATAAATATTTGTGCTGTTGTCTTAGTTTCGATTAGCTTTTGCTGTTTTCCTTGGACTGGGTTGTTCCAATGGGATGGGAGTGCACTATTTACAGTCATCTTTGAAGCTTTGCATCCCAAAACCACAGTAACCACAGCTCTGAGATGACATCGATGTGCAGTCAAAACAAGCCTGGGGCGCCCCATGAGCTCAGCAATGCTGTGTCTCAGCACCAGGGTGACCCTGAAGCTCAAGACACCCAGAGGCAGCCATCACAAGGAGCAACATCAGGAACAAACCCGCCAGTGAATATCTTCATGAACTTTGCTCTTGGATTGACTGAGGTCACCACAATCCAGAACCGAAGTCTAGGGAAGAATGCTTTCTTGTGTCAAGGGGGTCCATGACCCAGGAGATAAGAGTCAGTAGGTGGCCTGGAGAAATTGGAGCATAAGTTTACAGAGGTTGCTGTGGGTGAAAAGAACCTCGTACGATGGGGCGCCTGGGTGGCTCAGATGGTTAAGCGTCTGCCTTCAGCTCAGGTCATGATCCCAGCGTCCTGGGATCGAGCCCCGCATCGGGCTTCCTGCTCAGCGGGGAGCCTGCTTCTCCCTCTCCCTCTGCCTCTCTTCCTGCTCATGCTCTCTCCCTCTCTCTCTCTCTCTCTCTCTCTCTCTGTATCTCTGTGTCTCAAATGAATAAAAAAAAAAAAAAAAGAACCTCGTAGGAAGAAAACTTAGCAGACAGAAGAATTTTCCAGCTCCCCTGTATGAATCAGTGAATTCTGAGTTTTGATTTCTTCATCTGTAAAATGGGAATAATAATACTTGTCTTGCTTACCCCCAGGGACCAAATGAGGAAATTAAGCAAATGAGATCAATTTGCAAACTGTAAAGTGCTCTGGAAACATGATCAATTATACTATCCCTATTCTGTAATGTTTATAATAAAGGAAGTGGCATTTCCCCAGAACGGTATATATAGTATATAACAGTGATTTCCAATAAAATGTACCAGGAAAAAAAAAACGATACAATTCTCATGAGAAATATCTATTTGCATTTTCAAACCTAGGAAAAGAGAGACAGCTTGGCAAACATATTAACAACAACAAAACACAGCAAGGTGGTGCTGGACGGGGACTTCCCATGGGCACCAGCCCTAACAGTCCCAGACACACGAGGAGGGGGAGGCCAATGAAATGGGCACCACGGAAGAGCCAACTCCTTTGTGTGCACAAGGCGGGACCAGACAGAGTCACAGGGCTCCTGCCCCAGGGTAAGGGGAGCTCAATGTCAAGGCAATGTTAGAGCTTGCTACGGACTAAATTGTGTCCCCCAAATGCGTATGTTGAAGCCCTGACCCTCAATGTGGCAATATTTGGAAATAAGGTCTTTGGGAGGTAATTAAGGTTAAATGAGGGCATAAGGATGGCGTCCTAATCCACTAGGACTGTCGGCTTTATAAAAAAGAGCTATCCGCCTCCTTCCACGCCAACTCCCCAACCCCCTCGGCCCCCTCCCTCTCCCTCAGAGGAAAGGCCATACGAGGACAAAGCAGTCATCTGCAAACAAGGAAGAGAGTTGTCACCAGAACTCGAACCCTGCTGGAACTTTCATCTGGACTTCCAGCCTCCAGAACTGTAAGAAAATAAATTTCACTCAGTCTGTGATGTTTCATTATGGCAGCCCCAGAAGCCTGGGGCACTGACAATGTCTTCATTTTTGTTTTAAAACTAAAAAGAAAATCAAGTTTTTCTTTAAAATACATTAATCTCGGGGTGCCTGGGTGGCTCAGTTGGTTGAGCGTCTGCCTTTGGCTTGGGTCGTGATCTTGGGGTCCTGGGATCGAGCCCCGCATCAGGCTCCCTGCTAGGCGGGGAGTCTGCTTCTCCCTCTCCCTTTGCCCTCCCCCCGCTTGTGCTCTCTCACTCTCTCAAATAAATAAAATCTTAAGAAAAATTTAAAATACATTAACCACTGCAATTTCTACCTATATACTCAATAAAAATGAGAAAAACACAATTCCAATGGAAAAGTCTTACTGGGTACCCTTTCATCTTAAGCTGATCACTAGAGAAGAAGTGAGAATTCACAGTAGTCTGCCCACCCAATTCTCCTCAGAATCAGTCCGCTCTTTTTTTTTTTTTAAGCTTTTTATTTATTTATTTGACAGATGGAGAGCACAAGTAGGCAGAGTGGCAGGCAGAGGGAGAGGGAGAAGCCCGCTCTCTGCTGAGCAGGGGGCCCGACATGGGGCTCGATCCCAGGACCCTGGGATCATGACCTGAGCTGAAGGCAGCTGCTTAACCAACTGAGCCACCCAGGTGCCCCTCAGTCTGCTCTTTTTTAAAAGTTCACAAAATCAGGGGCACCTGGCTGGCTCAGTTAGAGGAGCGTGGGGCTCTTGACCTCGGGGTCATGAGTTCGAGCATCACATTGTGTGTAGAGATGACTTAAGTAAAAATTAAAAAAAAAAAAATTAAAAAGTTCACAAAATCAGGGGATGCCAGGGTTGCAGAGGATCTTACGTGGTACTGGTCTAGCCCTGTACCAAAGTTTCAGTTTCATTCCCACAGTGAACAGACTGAAAACTCACCGTTGGATTCTGACCACCTGAGATCCTGCCCTGGCTCTCTCGTTTCTTGGCTGTGGAACTCTGAAAGACTTGAAAAATCTCCAAATCCCAGTCTTCTCATCTATAAAACGGGAATAATAATCATAACAGCCTCCAGCCCAGGCCTGTTGTAAAGAAGAAACAAAGTAGTGTCTGGCACCCAGTAAGGGCACAGTTGATGTTCACTTCTCACTCTCGATCTCAGAAAAGTCAGCCCCAGGATACAGAAGACTGTGATGGAGCTAAAGCTGCAGACCGCCCATCGCAGAGTCAACCCCACTCCTCTCCGCTTGCCAGTTAGCTATCTACGGATCTGTAGAGCCAATTAACAGAGAAGCAGAGTGAAGGGAGGAAAAGTATTAGAAGAGAATGAACAGAATTAATTTAATGACGTCCCACTCAGGAAATCCTTTAGCTCCAGACAAGGGAAGCATTGTCTACATGACACAGAAAGGGATTATTTGTGCAAATGTGCTTGCTGCTCCCCGCAATGAGCCTGGCACCCCTGCTCCAGTATGGTGGGAAGGGATGTCAACAGAGAGGAGGGCATGGTGCAGGCCCCTTCCCACCTTGGAGAATGGGTGACCTTGGAGGGTGCAGAGGATGCACCCTAGGCCACAGAGCAAAAATACGGCCCAGCTTCCCGGAGAACCAATTTTATGAAGCAATATGCAAACATCTGCCTGAATTGTAAGGCAATATCTAATATCTGAAAGAACTTTCTGGCATGCCGTATTATGTCCGGTTCTGCCTCCAGTTCCACAGGGGCTGTGACCTGGGCTTTGCCAGGGAGTCCGGGGTTCCCCTGGCCCTGCCATGCCAACAGGCTCGCAGAGGCTGCTTCCTTCTCTCCAGAGTGAGCTCTGTCACACTGGACAGCCTCGGCCCCTCCTCCCTGAGGACACACCTTGCACACCTCCCTCGGGCCCGGGGAGTCAAGCCCACGTTTCTTTAACTTGTCACAAGGCCCCGAAGCCATTCATTCATTCATTTATTTAACAGAGAGAGCCCAAGCAGGGGGAGCGGGAGAGGGAGAAGCTTCCACGCTGAGCGGGGAGCCCCATGGGGGACTCGATCCGAGGACCCCAGGATCATGACCTAAGCCGAAGGCAGATGCTTTACCGACTGAGCCACCCAGGCGCCCCTCCCCACAGCCTTTTAAACCTTTGATATCCTGTGGCTGCCCACACACCTCGTTCCCTCCACCCCTCAGCAACCCCCGCCCCCTTCTCCATCAGGCCTTCCCTGTTCTTCCCGGGCTCCCCGCCCCCCCGCCCCCCCGCAAAACCTTGGCTGTCTCAGAGTTCATTAGCAATCCCCTCCAGGGCAAAGCTTTCCCTCCCCGCCCCCCTACCCCCACCCCCTGCCCTGCAGGTGCTCAGAACGCCCAGCGAGCTGCGCATACCCTCAGCACCTAACTACCAAGATTCACTGGCTGCTCAACGATTTTGCTCTCATTCACTTTTCCAGTTTGCCGAGAAAGTTCGACGAGGTTTGCACCGCTCTTTTAAAATGAAATCTCAGCAGATTTCATTTCCAAACAATTAAAACAGGAAGTGAAATTCTCAAGTGCGCTCCACTGTGACAAAAGTCACATTACGAAACCCAAGTGTCCTCGTCTGCTAGGTGGCTCCCGCGTCGGGGGCAGCGCGACTTGCGGGGGCTCCCTCAGTCGAGAGTCCCCTGAAACTCACTGAAAGGGGCTCTCACCGCGTCGATTGCACTCGCGGCGGGGAAAACGGCTGAGGGTTTTGCGTGCCAGAGAAAGCCCCTGTCGACGCTGAGTCAGATCGTGGGAAGAAAGGGGTGCAGGGAGCCAGGCGGGAGGCCAGCGGCAGCTTAGAAGACACAAAAGTGTTTCCTTTATTGGGGAAAAAAAAAAACACAACAAACCAGTTTTGTGGAGGAAGTTTTGTGTCCCCAGGCGAGTTCTGACTGCACTAAAATAGCTGAGCTAAGCTCTGCCAGCTTCTTCCAGAAAGAGGGAGAAGAGAGGTGGCGGTCTTCCCCGCACACAGGGCAGAGTGAACTGACCCCAGTGAGTTGCGTTCGCCTTATAAGTAACACACCAGCCGCCACTCACGCTTATCCCAAGGAATCCAGCAAAACCAGACTTGCTGTCAGGACATCACCTATTCTCAAGTGCTTCTGGTTTTGTCTGATCGTGTTCATGTCTTTATTTTGTTGTTTTGTTTTTCCCACAAACGGAAGTGAACAGTCGTCAATAAACAAATGAACCAAGGAAAAGAAATCACCAGCCAGGCTGGGAGCACAGGCGTGTGCCGGGGCCAGCAAGCAGAGCGAGGCTGAGACCGAGCTTGTTTTCTCTGGTTCTTACAAATAGGCTCATGTTTTGTGCCGCCCCAAACTCCGTAGAGGCCCGTTCATTATATTGCTGTCGTTTGCTTTGTCATCCATCCGTTCAGGGGCCATTGCATGGAAAGTCACCTACTAACACCACGCTAATGGTTCTTAGACTGTAGAGCTTCAGTCACCCCAGGACTTACTAAAATGCAGACGCGGGACCAGAATCCCAGGGTTTCAAGTTTCGGATTGTGTAGCAAGGGGGTGGGGCGCTGGAATTTGCATTTCTTAACAACTCCCAGGTGCTGGCCTTGTTACCAGCGCTAGGAGCAGTCTAAGAAGCCCTGCCTGAATATACCCACCATCAAATCCCTAGAAGGCCCAGAACTTCGGTGATGCTCAATAATTACTCATTAAACTGAACTGAAGCCACTCTGAAACAATCCTGGACTCCCTGAGATAACAGGGCAGGTTGTGCAAATATTTACACGTTGTCTCTGTTGAGACAGACACAACCGTGCAAGAACAACTTTATAGAGCATAGTGCTCTCATTGTACGGCAGATATTAGGTCCAGAACAGTGTAATTCGCAGCTGACTTAGTGGTGAGTTGACTTAGGTGTGGACATCCTGGGAATTATTAAGAAAAATAGGAAAATTACTTTCTCACTTTTACCACCTGCCCCTGCAGGCACCTCCTTCTCCTTCTCTCTTCTCCTCTCTTCTCCTTCATCCCCCCTCCATCCTCCCCCTTTCCCCACCCTCCCTCCTTCTCCACCCCCTCCACTCTCCCCCTTCTCCACCCTCCCCCTTCTCCACCCTCCCCCCTTCTCCACCCTGCCCCCTTCTTCACCCTCCCCCCTTCTCCACCCTCTCTCCTTCCCCCCTCCGCCCTTCTCCACCCACCTCCCCCTTCTCCACCCTCCCCTCTTTCTCCACTCTCCCTCCTTCTCCTCCCTCCCCGCTTTTCCTCCATCTCTACAAGGCTATCAGTGAATATTTGTACAAATACTTTGAGTTCTTTGGAAGAGAGAAACTGTATTGTTGCCAAATGAAATAATTTCTCTCTGTTCTTCTTTAAGAAGGTAGACTGGGCAATACTATATATATATATATATACACACACACACACACACACACACACACATATATATATACACACACACATATATATATATATGAAAGGACCCTCCCCCAAATTTGTCTTCTTTATAACATCTTGTGTATCAAACTTTAGGGTAAACAGAAAGCCTCACTTTTTTTATGACCTTGAAGTCTATAGTCAAAGGTGATTTGTGCAGTGGGTTTACTAGTTGGCTATTTTATAAAATACTTTTAAATTTGTAATGGTGGTTTATTTTCTATAAACAGTGTCATACCAAATATCCTCTTGTGTTCTTGAGTTTTCTCACTATTACCAAGTTATTTTATTGCTACTCATCAAGCGGCAAACCTGGAGAAATGTAAATTATATGGGCTTATAATTTAGCTTTTGTCCCGTCTTGGTTATTTTGCAAAGAGAGAAAGTAACTTTATAATTCTTACAATTTAAAAAATACACATCAGCCATTAACTTACTTGTATTTCAGATTACCATTCCAGGTAAAAATTAAATGCACATTCTAAGTGCAATATGTCTCTCATATATCAGTCTGGTTCTTTTTTTATAGTGTTTTGGTACATTTTTAAAAAATATTTTACTTATTTTAGAGCGAGAGCACTCAAGCAGGGAGAGGAGCAGAGAGGAAGGAGAGGGAGAGAATCTCCAGCAGACCCCACATTGAGAGCCCGACTCGGGGCTTGATCTCATGGCCCCGAGATCATGACCTGAGCCCAAACCAAGAGTTGGACATTTAACCGACTAAGCCACCCAGGCGCCCCTTGGTAACTTTTTTAAAGCTTTCTTTTCGTTAATCTTTAGAAGATAAACACCATATATAAGCATATGGCTGGAGGTAGTTATAAGGGCACCTAATGAAATGTCTAGTAGCAGATCTTTTTAATATACCTCTGTATCAAAATCACAAATAACACATTTAACAACAGGAGTTCCAAATTTTAACTCTAGCTTTGGCAGGGAGTCTGCTTCTCTCTCCCCTTTCCCCCTACTCCTTCTCTCTCTTGCTCACTCTCTTTCCCGCTCAGATACATAAATACAATCTTTGTAAATAAATAAATAAATAGATAGATAAATAAATAAATAAATAAAATCACCTTGTTCAAAACTATTAACTCTTTGTTGATGTTTTTTCTCCCTGATCCATAAATTTCTGAAAGAATGACTTTTAAATCTCCCATTCTGACCATAGCAATTGTCAGTTTCCTCATGTGATTCTGATCCTTTTTTTACTTCATCAATTTCAAGGCTGTGTTGCTAGGCCCTGGCATCAGGTTTCCAAAATACAAGCAACCGGAAATTGACTTTGGCCCATTGGAAGACCTGAAACACTGGGCTCAGTGCTACCCAGCTGCATAGCAAGCCACAGAAGAAGCCACTCGAGGAAGTTGCAAATATCACAGTATCTCTGCAAAGCTATGGATGCTGCTTTCCAGTGAGCAGCTTCCAGCCATTGGAACATGACCAACAGAGCCAAAATGCTGCCCAGGAGCTCCGTCTTGTTGGAGACCCCAGCCTGCTGGAGAAATTTCCCATGGTCTCTGCTTTTCCGTGTCACTAGCTCCTAAATGGAGGGAGGCAAAGGTATGTCCATTAGCAGAGCCTAGATCACATGACTTGCCTTGGGGACCACGACGCTGGGAAAATGACAGTGGGGTATTTTGAGCTTCTATAGGAGGAGGTAGAGAATCCTTCAAAATGAGAAGCGGGTGAGGATTCTAGGCAGGATAAATGTCTACTCCAGCTATATATCAATTCCTGATTATTCTATCTTCTTGATATGTTTGGTTGGTCCTTGACTTACATATTTTTGCTGTGAGATAGTACCTTCCTGACCTGCCTTTTTTCATGCGCCCTGCAGGGCTAACGTTGGCCAGGGAAAGATTAGAGCTGGCCTTCACAATTTGGACAGGAGCCCCTATCCTGAAGTCTCTCCCTGGCCTGGATCCCCAATCCATCTTGCTTTGTTTCAAGCCCAGCCAGGGGAAAGGGCTTTCCTTCAGGGAAGAGTGCTTTTTTGTTTCCTTCTAGACTTCCCACATCTGGCTGCTTGCAGGCGAGTCCAGTCCATCTCCTAGAAGACAGACACTCCTGACAACGAGTGTACCAGCTCTTGCCGGGGCCAGTGTACAGCCCACTTCTTGGGTTTCCCTAAGAGCCAAAACTTGGCCTGGTGGGAGCAGGAAGTCCATTTTTGAGAGAAGTGAACAGAAAAGGGGAAAAAGAACTTTGATTTGGCTTTGGGGCTGAAATCTACTTATACCAAGTATAATCCAAGTACATAGAAAAAAAAAAAACTATCACCTACTTAAGACATACAAAAATTTGGAGGAAAATATAGCCAACACTGTATATCCAGTCTCTCAGCCTAAGAAATAAAGCAGCACAGCCTCAACTGAAGCCCTTTGTAGCCCTCACGGGTCCCACCCTCATCCTACCCCAGACGTTACCGCCATCTTACACATTTTTTATCATTTCTGTGTGTGTTTTAAGATTTGATATGGATGATAGCATACATATGCATTGTTCTGCAACTTGTTTTTTCACCCAACATTATGTTTGGGGGATTAATCCATGTTGACAAATGTAACTCTGTTTCCTTCATCTTAATGGCAGTATAGCACTGTTTTGTATAAATATATCATGATTTTTAAAATTCTCCTGTTGATGGCCATTTCAGCGGTTTCCAATATTTTGCTATTATAGGCTATGCTGTCAAAATAGTCTTGCTCCTATTTCCTCATGCACGTGTAGAAAAAAAAATCCCAGGAAATAAATTACTTAGTTTTGGTTTGAGGGCATACACATCTTTCATTTTTTTTTTTTTTAAGTAGTCTCCACACCGAGTGTGGAGCCCAATGCTGGTCTTGAACTCACAACCCTGAGGTCAAGACCTGAGCTGAGATCAAGAGTCAGACGCTTAACCAACTGAGCCACCCAGGTACCCCTGCACATCTTTAATTTTACAAGTTAGAACTCAGTTGCTTTAGTGGTTGTACCTATTTATTTATTTGTTTAAAAGTGTATTTCTTTATTTACTTAAGCAATCTTTATGCCTAATGTGGGGCTCGAATTCATGACCCCAAGATCAAGAGTCACATGTTCCTCCAGCTGAGCCAACCAAGCACCCTAGTTGTACCAATTTACACTCTCACGGTAGTTTGTTTCCATAGCTCCATGTGGTACCCAACATCTGTAGTTGTCAGCCTGCTTTATTTTTTTCCAATCTAGCAAATGTGAAGTGTTATCTCACTGTGGTTTTAATCTGCATT